GTATTTAAAGGACACTTACTAACCAGGAGGAAACAGCTGTTTCGTCCCTCAGGAGACGCTTCTGAGCGGGGTCACCCTGAGGTGCTCTCACACAGGGGACTCTGGGAAGTTCTACACTGAGCTCTGGGCCAGAGGATGAATTTCAAAGGAACTGCTCCTCTAAATGATGTCTGCTCAGCTAGTCTGCCCACCAGTTCATGCACCTGGGGGCAGGGGCGTGGAAGAAAGAGCACACACCCTCCCCACCCTCCAGGGCAGTTAGGTGTCCAAAAGGGGAAGTGAGAGCTGGGCTCCCTGCAGGGTTTTTCCAGCTCTGCTTCCTGGCTGTTGAGAAACCTGAGGTGGGTGTGTGGGCTCCTTGCCCTGGCTCAGCTAGGAAGTGGGTGTCTCCCTCCCTGTTACAGATAGACTGGAAAGAGGTCACCTGGCGTGGGGGGCGGGGGGCATGTCCAAGCGACTCTCCAGCCTGTTTCACCCTGTTACTTTGTGGCCCTTCAGGGTCTCTACCTCTACTGCCCCAGGAGTGACATCCCAAACACTACACTAGAATGACCTCAGGCAAACCACATCTGCTCTCTGAGCCTCCGTTTTCTCATTTGCAAAATGATGAGGTTCAAGTGACCCTAAAAGTTCCCTCCAGCTTTCATTTTTTGCTGACTCTCGCTTTGCATTTTGTTTTTTCCAATGGTGAGAGTTTTGGTCACTGTTCTCAGAACTCAGGAGCCACATTTGGGGACTAAAACCAGGTTACTTACTATGCAGACACCAATAACAACAACAACAAAGCTCCGTGGAAAGCAGGAGCCCCACCCAGGTGCAGGGCTCAGAAGCTCAGCTGCTCCCTATGGCACCTAAGCCAGTTTCTATTCTTAGCATTTTCTATAGTGACAGGGTCTGGCAGCAGAAGCACTGGAGGCCACATAAGGGAAGGTTCCAACTAGCCAGGCAAGACAGGGGATAGTATCCAGCTGCTCTGCCCTCTTCTGCCCCATCCAACTGCAACCTCTGTCTTCAAATCCTGTTAGAAGGCTTGGGTGGAAATGTTTTCCTTACTATTTCATTGGATTCTATAGCCCATCTCTCATATCCTTAATACAAATGCTATTCATTTAGAAAATGCTCTGAAACTTAGTTTAGGAAGGGCTTTCTCACACCGTGGCTCATTTGATACCCACCAGTTCTTCTACAAGGCTGTATTTGGACCAGACCTCAGAAAGCTAACACTACGGGAAGACTAGGCACACCAGAGGCAAGATATCCAGGACTGCCTTTTTCGCTACTTCGTGGTGGGTTTTGAGGCAAATCATTTAAACTCTCTTGGCTTTAACTTTTTCAACCAAAGAATGAGAAGTGTACCCCGAAAGATCTTTCCTCCTCAAGAGCTCTGCTATGGTTGTCTCAAAGCAATTTTTCTCTCAAAAAACCACATATTGACTCTTCAAAAGCAAGGCTCAAGGCTCCCTCTGAAGTAAGGATTCTCAAACCTAGCTTCACACCCGAATCCCCAGGGAAAGAGGGAACCGTCACGCTAACATCTCGATGCTGCCCATCTGAGACTCTAATTTAATTACTCGGGAGCATGGCCTGGGCTTCTGGAGCGTTCACAGCGCCCAGGTGATTGTGAAGTGCAGCCGTGTGAAATGCAGGGCAGAGTGCTGCCCTGGAACCCGCCATGGACCCCATGGGACCTGCACAGGGAAACTCTTATTTTCTGGAGCTTTCTCCTCCCCTCTCCAGCTTTCCCTAGTAGGCATTCGCATGGGCTTTGGCAGCAGCTGGACGCTTGTCCACGTCCCTGCTCATTCTCCTCCCGGACCAAAGTGCTTCCTTCTGCCCCTCATTGCAAAGGCAACGGAGGCCAGTATTGAAATACTGAAAGGAGGCACAGAGGGGCTTGTTGCCAATAAACAGAGAAATGAAGACTATAAAATCACTTAGTACACTGGTTAACCAAGAAAAGAATGCCACCTTGAGGCCTAGCTGGTGGAGCTCAGTGGATTGAGTGCAGGCCTGCCAACCAAAGGGTCGCTGGTTTGATTCCCAGTCAGGGCACATGCCTGAGTTGTTGGCCAGGTCTCCAGCAGGGGACACATGAGAGGCAACCACACATTGATGTTTCTGTTTCTCTCCCCCTTTCTCTTTCCCTTCCCCTCTATTGAAAAATAAAATCGTTTTTAAAAAATGGCATCTTTTTCCTTTGACAGAGGCGAAAGACCAGCAATATGGACAGGGAGGTGTTCCCAGGGCAAAGGCATACAGAAGGACTCGTACATGGCAAAGCCCCGAGGGTTTTAGAGGCGCTCCCTTTCTGACCTCATCTGTGGGCACGCCAGTTTCCAAATGTTGTCACTGCAGGTAAGTGATGTGCGCAGGCGCCTTTTATTAATCACTCACTTTAACATTCAAATAAATGCCAGCATTTCCCTAAGGAAATAGCGCAGTCACACGAAGCTGGCACATAATTATAGCTGGTGGGACATTCTGCAATGAGGCCTTGATCTTACCGACCTAGGATGAAGCTTGCTCCATCAGTAGGCTGAGAACCAAGTGAGCGCTTCTCTCTGTCACCAGCCGTCTCCTCATGGAAGAACCAGGAAGAGCCAGTGACCCGGCCCGGCAGTAAGGAGAAGGGGGGATTCCAGTCCTGCATCTTGGGATCAGAGTGCAATCCTCAAGACCTTTAAACTCCTCTTATTCATGCCCCCCACCAAAAAAAAATGTTTTAATGTCAAACACTTGTTAAGAATCTTTTCATAAAAAGACAAACCATTAAAAATCCCCAACTTGGAGCAGCTCCCAGTCTAGATGGAGGAAACACACAAGTCTGCACAGCCCTCATCAGGCCCTTTGTTCAGTACAGACTGCGAACTCTGATTCTGACCTTGGCCTCTCTAACGCCGCCTCCCGGAACAGCCCAGCCCACCAAAAGGAGGAACAACCTGATGGGGGTGGGTGACTTTGTCCCATTGGGGCTCTCTGGTGACAGGCAGACCCACGTTGGACTCTCTGTCCTGTTTGCAGCTGCCTATATGCTGACCCTGCTGCGCTCACCCCGGGCTGATCAGGCTGGACCCCCGACTGCACCTGCCCATGGACTTCTTCCTCTGCACCCCCCTGGTGGTGGGCATCTGCTCCACCTCCAGTGGGCCCACCTGAGGCTGGTGCACTTCCTCCCAGAGAAGACGACGACCTCCTTTGCCCAAGGTGGAGCCCAGCTCTTCTTGCTAGCAGTGCTGAGGGTGGGGGGTGCAAATCAAGCCCCTTCTACTGGCCACTAGGGCTCATGCCTGCTACATGGCGGTCTGTGACCAGCAGAACAGCACACGTGTTGTGTAACAACCATTCACATAAAAAGTCATGGGGAGAATGTAGTTAATAAGTTAGGTGGTCAGTTAGCCACTAGGTGGGCATTAAGTTAGCTGACTGGTTTGTTAGCTAGGTTTTAGTGGTTTTTCTGCCACAAAATAAAATAGCTCTAAAAGGACAGAGGAAAAACTGGTAAGAGTACATCCGAAACTAACATAATATTGAATGTCAACTGTGATTATTTTTATATATTTTAGAGAGAGACAAAGGGAGGAAGAAAAAGAGGGAGAGAAACATCCATGTGTGGTTGCCTCTCCTGGGCCCCCCTACTGAGAACCTGGCCTGCAGCCCAGGCCTGTGCCCTGACTCAGAATTCAACCAGCGACCCTTTGGTTCACAGGCCAGCGCTCGATTCACTAAGCCATACCAGCCCGGGCATCAACTGTAATTTAAAATATTTTTAAAGTACATTTTGAATTTTGAACCTAGTGAATGTATCATCTACTAAAAAATAAATGTTTAGAATTAAAATGTAGAATAATTTGCCCCCAAATTATAGAGTATCCACTCAGCAACATTCACCTAAACTCATCCTGACTGATAGGGAAATCATTTTCATTTTCAGAGATTAAAATTTCTCTTTATTAGCAATCCAGTTGCAAGTTGGTCTCTGAAATTTGCATATTGATGCCTTTTAGCAAAAACTTTCAAGCCTGCCTTACAGGCACCCAACTCTAACGAAAGTTTTCTACAAAATTATTTTTAAAACATTTGCATAGTAATTGACACAAATTATTTTTAAAAAGTTAAAGATTATACTTAATAGGCTAATTTTTTTTTCAAAAAAAAAAGAGGTTAAATAGTTTTGGGACACTAAGTGAAATTCTTGAGTCTTTGTCAGAACAAAAAGTACATGTTTATTCAATTCACATGGGACTTTGTGACGTTTGCTTGAAGGGAAAAAGTTCCAAAGATGATCTGTCAAAAGAGAAAATCACAATGTATGATTCTACAGGAAGAATAAACATGGGAAAAGCCTGGCGGCCACTCAGACCTCAGAGAGGAGAAAACCAAAGGAGGAACAATGGCAATATTAATGAGAAAAGAGAGGGGGTGGTGTAAAGAAACCCTTCAGTGGTTTTAGTACAATTCAAACTGAAGTATCCGAGTTTGGTGAGAGGAAAAGCCCTCCTCAGAAGAAAGGGCTTCTGGACCTCCCAGCCCTGGCCTCTGTCCCCCTCAGCTGTCCCCTCACCATAACTGCTACATTGTCCTCGTGGAGACTGCTGCTTCCCCATCCGCACCCTGCTTCCCTCATAGATGAGATGCCCTTTCTCGGAACTCCCCGAGGAATTCCCCAGGGCTGTCAAGGCAAGAGTACAATTAATCAAGACTTTTTAGCTGAAGGCTGCCATGCAACAGAGAGGGTACAAACAGAGTAGCGCATAATTTTGTATTCTGACCTTCAGGACAAGCCTGGCTCTCTGAGACCCACAATGGGACGCCCCTGTACTAGTGTCCTAAGGAAGGTATCATGCCCAGGCAGTTCCCAGAGTTACTCTCCCCCTTTCCTTGTCAAAGGAGGAAGCCCAGGGCGTGATATAGCAGATACTACCTATGGAGGTATCTCCATCCAAGTGGACCATGGCTTTGTCATCCTCACCTGGATAAGGAAACCATTCCACCTGGGCTGCCTAGAAGCCCCTGGCCAGCAGAAGTAGCTGCCTGAACACCCCACGAAGCCTGAAGTTGCTGAGAATGAGGATAAAGGGATGTAAAGATGTGCACAGGTAGATTAAAATTTGCCAGGGCCAGTACCAGTCACTCTCTGTGGTAAAGAAGCCTGCACCATTGCTGATCAGGGATGCAAAAGACAGAGTGTAAAGAACGAGGAAGGAGACGAGTGACCACAGAGCTCTGGTGTGGGCCTGGGTGCTGGGCTCCTGCGGGCTGGACCCATTCTGCCGCATCACCTGAGTGTGTCTCCTCAGAGAGTTCATCAACAGCACAGTTGAGACCAGGAAAACAGAGCAAGGGATTGACAACGTGACAGATTTTATGGGCAGGATATACAGAATCTCCAGCCTCCTGTTCCACTCCTTGTAGGTCATATTCCCATAAAGTTTTCTAATATAGAACCCTTGATATGCAGTGTGGTTTACCCAATAGGAGAACAGGGCAGCGACACAGGAGACCAGGAGAGAACCCAGCAGAAGCCAGGGCACCGACCCTGGGAACCTCCACTTGAGCCAGAGGAAGGTGGGGTGGGTAAGGTTGGCGATCTTCAGGCAGAAGAGGACACTGAGCCAGGCACTGAACCAGAAGGTGGCTGCATTCAGGAAGTTCCAGTGGAGATTAAAGAGCTGCTGCACGGGACCCCGGTTGAGCTCCCCCAGCTGGAAGAAGTAGTAGAAATTGTGCACTATTCCAACCCACTGCAGGCAGAAACGGGAGACACCCAGGCCGATGAGGATCATGTCAGAGCGGGGCAGCCTCCCAAGCCGCCTCCAGTGTCTGGTCAGCACCACCACGATGAAGCCATTGGCCAGGAATCCCAGCAGAAACAGCAGGACAAAGAGCCACATGAAGAGGTTTACAAATGCTGGCTGCATGTTGGCCCCTCCTCTGGTCACCACCCCTGCCTTGCTACCTGGCCTCCTCCCTGGCCCCACTCACAGTCCCTCTATTGATTTCTCCTGCAGACGTGAAAAGAATGCTCAGGCTCTGCATCTGAGCCAGAGCTCACTTAGAAGGAAGATGCTTGGACTGTGAAACAAAGGTGAGCTCAATTTGGTGAAGATGCAAATTTCCCCTGGGTTCAGTTACCACTCTGCCTAGCAACTGCCCCTGATTTGCCTTCTCTGATTTTGCCTGCCTAGTGCCATGGTTAACATCAAAGTAGAGAGCCTCCCAGGGACCCTGTGACTGAGTTCCGTCCTTCTCATGACATGCTTGGGTCCTGTAAACATACCCCTCCCCATCAGATCATTCTCAAGATATTAAGTATTGAAAATATATAAGCAAGAAGTATAAGTCCTGGCTGGTGTAGCTCAGTGGATTGAGCACGGGCCTGTGAACCAAAAGATCGAGGCTCGATTCCCCGTCAGGGCACATGCCTGGGTTGCAGGCCAGTTCCCAGCAGGGGATGCACCAGAAGCAAGCATACATTGATGTTTCTCTCCCTCTCTCCTTCCCTTCCCTTCTAAAGATAAATAAATAAAATTTTTTAAAATAAATAAATAAAAGAAGTATAGAGAGACACTCATCTTCTGCCTCGGCCAGGACCCAGGCCAATGGTGAAGCTGCAGAAGTCTGTGTCTAGCCACGCTTCCCTGTCACGCACCCGCCCTCGCCTCGGAGCAGCAGTCATCCCCTTCAAGGTCGGACACCTGGTTCACCTTGGCACCAAACCTCTTCTTAAATCCTTCCTGGCCCCGGAGGTGTAAATGATTGACAGTTTAAACCACTAATAATTTAATGGTTTAAATTGGTTTTATGTGTCCAGTAAGATAATTCATTTCCCTGGGGTTACAAGGCTGAGGGCTTCTATTTCTTGCTAAGTGTCGCTTGAAGGTCACGTCAGGTCCTAGTGGCTGCCTGAAGTCTTTGTCCAGTGGTGACTCAGGCCAGCAGAGAGACTCTCTAGAGAGAGTCTTCAATATGATAACATAGTCACAGGTGTGACACCCTGTCACACAGTCATATTCTGTTGGCTAGAAGCAAGTCCTATTCCTCACGGCCCCTCGGAAGGAGGGGATTACACAAAGGCAAGGATACCAGGGGTGGGAGACACTGTGGTTTACAAGGCACGTGTGAGTCCTGTCGTCCAACACCCACACCCTGGCCAGGCTGGTCAGTGGGTTGGGGCACCATCCTCTACACCAGAAGGTTGTGGGCTTCGCTGGGAGGCAACTGACCCCTGTTTCTCTCTCTCCTCCCCTTCCTCTCTCTAAAATCAATAAATGTATCCTTCAGTGAGGATTCAAATTTTTCTTCTTTTTTTACTGCAGTCTTTCCATGACTATTTATCTCCCTTACTCCCCTCCCCCCAGCCATTACCACATTGTTGTCCACGTCCACGAGTCCTTTTTCTTTCTGTTGAATCCCTCCACCCCCTACCCCCATTCCAGAGCTTTTTACATTAGAGTCCTACAAGATCTGGTGAAAATAAAAATATTTTCTCAAATAAAATAGATCAAGTTAATCCATATTCAAATGTTTTCTGTTTAATATATCAAATTGTCCTTCCTCCACATTTGTTTAAAAGTTTTTGTTTGTCTCTCTTTTTAGATTGTGATTTTGTCATGAAAATGTCAAAGACAATCAGTCATGCAAACAATGTGAAAGTTGTTACCACCACAGCATGAATGTATAACTGGACTAAAAATACTTCACAATAAAAAGAGAGAGATGCATTTATCTCGCTCTCAGATATCTGTTCCTTACAGTTTCCATAGCCATTCATTCACTAAGCAAGTGCTTGAGCACTTAAATACACTGGGCTCCTATCCTAGTCACTGGGGGCAGCACAGTGAGCCGGGGGTGGGATTCCTGCTTGTATGGAACCGGTGGTCCAGTGAAGGGTCATGGGCAACAAGCAGACACAGGAACAAGACACTTTCACACAATAATTGGCGCCTTCAAGAAAAGAGAAGAGTGAGGTTGCTGGAGAGTGGCCAGAGAGGGAAAGTGGGTCCTGCAGACCTGCAGGCCAAGGGAGGTTTGCTCAGGGGGTGGTGTGACCCCAGCAGCCTGAACAAGAAGAGCTGCTCCATGTGTAAAGGCCCTGTTCATAATCACATCACATCCTTATGTTCTTCATTTGCTCCCGCCATTCCTTCTGACTTCATTTAGCAAGGGAGTCTTCTCCTGCCAGAGAACACTGCAGCAGAGCAGGTGACTTTTCCTCTCACTCATATCAAGTAGGTTGTCCGAAGAGCACTTCAAGCCATCAACCAGCCTCAAACCAGAAACTGGGCATTGCCGTCCAATCTGTGGCTGTCACAGAACTCGGTAACTGCAGCTTCAACCCCTGTGAGATGGGCCAGTGCAGAGGGAAGGCGTAAAGGGGGCTGCAAGGGCCCCACATGAAGTGGAACCAAAGTAATCTGGCTTTGTGCTCGCCCGGCCTGGCAGATATTTAAGCTGACTCCCTCATGGGGAACTTTCAGATTGGAGGTCCCTCCCGGGCCCACTGTCCTGAATTTTCCTTCAGTGCAAAAAAAGGCTTCTTTATCTTGAGTGATCCCTCAGGGTTCCTTCATTAGCCCGCAGGAATTCACCATCAATCGGCTGCTGCTGGAGTTTCCACTCTAGCAGGCAGCCTTAGGAGCCTGATGTCAAGGTGTGCTCACATGCATGCTCTCCCCTGTGGCTCGCAGCGGGCCCCTCCCCTCTGCTCCCACAGTCCTCACACGCAGCCCATTCTCCTGACTCTGCTCCCAAGTCAGCCGGTTGGTCTGTCCCTCACTCTCCTAGTCCCCCAGGGAAAGGAACAAGCCCCCCATCCACTATGCCTCCCAGCTGAAGAAATAACACAGTAAGCTTGGTCAGCGGCCCCATGGAAGCACTGGGCCACCTCCAGGTTTGAGGTGAGGGACAACATTCCTAGTCCTTTCTGCGGAATATGGAACAGGACCCATAACCAGGTTTTTCTAAAGAATTATTCCTCAAAACATCCTCTCTCTTTTACTGTCTCAACCCTCTTATTTTATCCAAGGGTTTCAAGAGTATGAAACAGGTTTATATCCATTTCCTTTGAAAGCCTGCATATCAGGAACTGGCAACTCACTCTGAAATCTCACAATCATTCAATCTTCACACCAGACTGAAATTTCAACGTGGAACGTTGTTATTTAAAGGACAAGGTGAAGAAAGTCATGTGGGTCGTGGTAAGAAATGTGAATATTCTGATGTAACTGAAAGCCACTAGAGGTTTGAAACAGGAGTGGCGTGATCTACTTTGTTTTTAAACAGATCCTTTGGGTTACCATGCAGAGAGCGGACTTGGGAGAGGCAAGGGTGGGGAAGAGCAGTCAAGGGCTGCTACAAGTGACTGGTACTAGGAGATGGTGCTTGTTCTCGAGAGCAACCACTGGCGGGGCAGGGCAGTGGTAATAAGATGCTGGCAGATTTCGAAGGCAGATTCAAAAAGATTGCCCTGCTATAAGGATTAAAGAAAGAGAAACCAAAAATCAATTCTAAATATTTTACTTCAGTAACTGGGAGGATTTAATGGAGCCATTTCCTTCGATGAGGAAGACTGAGAGAAAAATGTCTGTGGGAGAAAGTCTATTTTGATTCTGGTAAGTTTGTGGAGCCTGTTAGGTGTCTGAAATGAGACATGAAGCAGAGCATTGAGATTTAAGTCGGGATCTCAGTGAAGAGTTAAGGCTGGAGTAACAGGTTTGGGAGTCATCAACATGGTATTTACAGCTATTAAACTAGATGAGATCATACAGAGGGAAATGGAGATGGAGACGGAAGCAAGTCTTGCACCTTCAGCTTGTAGGGACTGAAACTCAAAGGATGCAGCAAAGATTTGGCAGAGACTAATGTCAGGGAGGGATTCCACCCCACGAGTGCAGACTCGGAGACAAGGGGAGAAAGAAACGGGTGGGGAAAGAGACACGGGAGTGAGAAACACGCTGAAGTGACCTGCACGCAGGGATGGCACGCTGTGCTCCCCGGGAGATGCCCTCGGGCAGCCGCTGTCCATGTGTTCTAACTTTGACAGGCCCATTGGTAGCGACTCCAGTCTAGCACAGTAGAACCCTGGTGTTGAAACCGGATCCGACCTGTGCTTTACTCACTAACTGCCTGACCAGAGAAGCGCTACTTACAATTCATCCAAACATAAAAACACCTACTCAGCAAGCACTGTCTGTTGGGCACTACACTAGGCACATTAGGTACAAACATTAAGATAGTCTCCTGAGAGAGACAGACAAGTAAACATATAATGCCAATACAGTATAATAAATAATAAAATAATAACTAATATTTATTCGGTGCTGCTATGCATCCCCATGTACTACTCTAAGTACTTTACATATACTACTTTTTTATACTCATAAAAACTCAATGAATTTCAAAAATGGGACAACTAGATATCCACATACAAAAGAATAAAGTGGGACCCCTTCCTCACACCATACAAAAATGAATTCAAAGAGGATCACAGATCCAAATACAAGATCTAAAACCATAAATCTCTTTGAGAAAAACCTAAGAGTAAATCTTCATGGTCTTGGGTTAGACAAAGCTGACATATGTGTCTATTACATCAAAAATACAAGTTACTCAAAAGAAAAAAACAGTTAAATTGGATCCCATCAAAATTTTAAAAACTTGTGCTCCTGGATAGCACCAACAAAGTGAAAAGACAGCCACATAATGAGGGGAAATAGTTGTAAACCATATACCTAACAAGGAAGTTGCATCCAGAATGAATAAAAAACACTCACAACTCAACAATAAAAAGACAAGTTATCCAATTTAAAAATGGAGAGAGGATTTGAATATGCATTTCTCCAAAGATGATATGCAAATGGCCAAGAAACACACCAAAAGATGTCCCACATTATTAACCATTATAAAAATGCAAATTAAA